ACATATGATAAAGCTAGTATTTAAATATTAAAGTACGTTGTTCAGTATATGTTGTTTTAGGGAACTTTTGAAAGTTATTCTATTAGTAATTTGTTTGATTGGCTCAGGTAGAGAATTCCAATGTTTTACGGCTGTATATTTTAAAGTATGTTGGGAAAGTGAAAGATTCATCCTGGGGACATAGTAGTATGCACTGAGACAGTACGCCGCGCATCGACCTCCGCTGCACATCGGTTGATACTCCCTCTGTACTGTCTTCAAGCATATTTTGAGGTATCCTCGTAATAACCTCATTATATTATGTGTAGAGGCTGAGAAACCCATTCACATTGATCGAAATAACACAGCATAGCCAGACACTGGGGCAAAGAAGCTTAGATCTGACAGATAATGGAACTCTTGAAAGTATTGATACAGCAATTAGTCAATAGTACTGAGAATAATGGTAAACTTACAGTAGTTGGTGACACTGTCAATGCTCATAAAATGCCGACATGACTTATAGTGCGGTACTGGTGCATGTCATTTTGTTTCAGGATTCATTAAAAATGGTCAAATGCCATATAAAAAAAAAATCTTATTTCTCAGACACACTTCCATACATTTTGTTTAAATTTGGTATGAATGCAATACATAAATCTGTAACAGCAAAGCATATTGGATATTGACCAGTTACATCTATTCTCCCACTCTGTTCAGTTATAACTTATTGGTAAATTCAGCCTCAATGACTTTAATTGTCACGCATTCCTATTACTCATTATTCTGTAACTTGAGGATATTTTATGTGATTTGTGTGATGTATATACGGTACAACATTACATTACCGCGGTGCACATGATTGACAGTACTAACGATCAATGTGATATTTTACACTTATTGTAGCGTTAAACACGCTAAACATTATCTGAGAATGCGTGTGCTCGCACAGTATGCAGAGGAAACCATATTATGCGACGGTACTGTTTTTATTACTTTGAATTTCAGGCTATTAAATAACAATTACTCGCATGTTGCCATGACAATAATAATGATTGAAAGTTTATTTTGTAAAAATATCAATATGAAAGGTCATTTCTGTCGATATAAAAAATACCATCAGTGATGTGTGTTCATGATTCAGAACAATAATAAAAACAAACATGCCTGCCTCCAAGGGTTGACCCGATCCAACACAATGAAGTTTGTTAAATCTGTGCTAAACGTTCTGG